GTTCACATGCTAGAGAGAACATTATATAAAGCCTTCACATTACAGAACGGATACCTGTTTCCCCTGCCTAGGGGAATATTAAACTTTCTCCTATTCCATTTCTTTTCTTACAATATTATTGAGTATCATGTTGTCACTGAAGTGTATTTCATATCGAACATTACCCTACTTTCTATCTCCTAATTACATCATATCGTTCCATTAGGTAAGCTCTGTAATGAAGATACCAATCCATTTTAAAGAAAAGGTTGAGTTCTGGTAAAGATGGGGGGAAATCACGAACTTTGTCATTCTTTGCAAAAGCCATGACAGTTTGGAAGACTATCCTAATAAAAATGTCCCCTGAAAAGGACTGTTTTTTAAATGCCCATATTCGAAATATGACAAAACTACGGAACAAACATGTGTGTGTGTGTGTGTGTGTGTGCTATGTGGTCCCATAGATCCATTTCTATATGCAGTGTATGTGATTCTCAGCAAAAATGAGCCAACTTATTTTCATTTTAATCATTCTATTCTATTTTGATCATTCCGTTATAGTATATATCCAGTATATGTATCGCATAATAAACCTTTCCCCAAAAAATTCCGGTAGGTTCTTTCACAATGTAATTGCATGACCTGTTCATCGCACTCCCTATCTCTTTAATACTGAGTTGCTATTGATATCAATCGAAAATGATTCGTAATCAATCGCAACTTTTTTTTATATAAGACGGGGCCCAGAACTTCATCGAATCGGTACAATAGATCCTCGATCTTATTTGACGTGTCATGGTCGCGTGAATTAAAATAAACCGACTATCCAATTGCACTATAACAGCGTAAACGGGGGCGTTTTATACTTCCTTACTTATACAACCGGAGCACGAAAACAAAGCAATAAAGATAGCCACTTTGCCTTAATGCTCCATTATAATGTCAAATTTATCCAAAAAGATCTAGAACGACAATGTTTGTTCTTTTGCAACGTTGGCCTGTTCGATGTTGTATAAGTTATTGTACTTCGGCAAGAATGCCAAAGGTACAGCATATCACTGAAAATAGTCTGACAGCTTAAATGAAATGACATTATGTTCGGTTTTTATTTCGTACAAGTTTCCGTTCTTGTTTTACAGCTTTGATTTTTCTTCAAGCGAACCAAATACATTTTTCCCGTGATTGACAAACAGACATAGCAGTGTGAGAAAGTGAGACATGCAGTAAGCTTGTATTTTTTCTGTAAAACATTCAAAATCGACGTCTAAACAAATTTGATGATTCCATCACAATTTGAGATGCATGATAACTTGATATCACCTTATATAATACATGGACACAATATTATTGTGCTCCGTTTCATGCAATGTAAGATAAAATTGTATTGTAATTAAAGCTCAAAAAACATAACCTTCGGTTAGCACAACCTTCATGCTGTTTTCGTGTTTAAATAAGGATACAAACAGTAAATTTAAATGGACGGTCACGTTTAGCATAACGAATTCTAGGACAGGATTTTAATAGATCCCACGGTAAAGTATTGATACACGTATTGCATTACAAGGCTTTCGTTCTCGTGATTAGGAATAATGCTGGTAGCATTATGGCAAATAGGACAACGATTTTAATCAAATTCAAGCTATTCTTATTAATTAAACAGATGAACAAGCGCAATCAATTATCATGACCCATTGGTGCTAAGTGTACGTCTGTTTTTTTAGATTTGTCTGTTTTTCTTTTTTTTCTTCACCCTAGTAAATGTTATATACTGTTATTATAAACATACAAATGCTGAAACGAATTCTTTAGATAGATGGTTGCTAAAAAAAATGAGTTCCAAGTTTAGGGCTTAATAGTTGAAGGTTAAGTTTTCCTCCTTCGTGACGTAATGATAACAAGTACACACAAGAAAATTGAAAAAGCAAGCATTGGTGCATATCACACATCCAGAGCCATTGCTGCCGACGCAAATTCGGGCATCACGTGTTGACGAATGCATGGCCTCAATTCTTGGCCTGCTAAAAACGCTCTATTTTGTCACTGATTTGCGCTGAATTGCAGCTGGAAATTTTGATTGGGGGCTGAATCCACACAGGCCCTTCTTCCCCCAGGGGCTGCTCTTCTTATTCGAGTTTGGATCTCTCTCTCTACACCCCCACCCCTTCTTTTTCTGCATGTTTGACATGGTTCCATTGTTGACACAAGCCTAATTTCTTCTATTTGAGGAATACCATTACCCCCGTTCAGGGAGCTAATGATCTTGCCACGCCGACAGTGATCAATTAGTGTTAGATTAGAGGGACTCTAAAAAACGAGACTAATTGAGAATGATGCGTGGATGATAGGCATAGGGATGGCAAGACACGACATGTGGAAATTATCTCCCTCTCTGATGGAGAAATAGAGAATAGAGCTCTGATTATCCCGTCCTTTTCATAATCACCTTTCCCTTTCTCTCACTTTAAACTTTCATTCAATAGGATGAAAACAAAATGGAAGAAAGTTGGTGAAATCTACCTGAATAATGTTCACAGATAATTGCAGCGAATATAATTATGAGACAGAGTCAAGGCTCTTTATTAAAAATAGAAAGAAATCATAGAAAAGAAGGGAGAATCATCGATTTTCTTAATCCCATTCTTTTAATTCCAGATGGTAACATCGTTTGTTTATTTTCGAATAGTGCATCTCTCTAAAACATTTTGTAAAGCTAACAATATTGAAGGTTAGACAATATTACCGAATATTTAGAACGATACTGTTGAAAATGTCATAGTTGTCTTCAAATTCGAGATGCACAGGATTATTTTCAAAGAACAGCGACTGTCTGAAGATAACAAGTTGGGAGGTCCTTGGCGATTTTCTCCACGAATGTAAAGGTGGTTTTAATTCAGTAATTGTTTCCGATGGATAAACAATGTACCTGAATCGTTGTACACTGTTGTAGTTTGCTATATATATATATATATATATATATATATATATATGTGATATCGCCGTTGTATGATGGGGCTTTAATGTTTGACTTCAACACACACCCGTTAAGAAGAACCTGAAATAGAATGTGTCCCGTATCTCGTTCTAGATCTGGACTAACGGTGGAGTGAGTGAGTGAGAGCAAGATCCGAGAGTCCATGATCTAAGTAAGATGAGAAGAAACGGATGTGAGTCAGAGTCATGGGATAGGGTCATTGAGAGGTCAAATACATATTGGAGTAATTAATTTTGTTGAGTGATACTTTATTAAAAGAATGCCATGTAAATTATGCTATAACCGCCCCTATAATCGAGTGATGATTAGGCCTTCAGCTTTAAAAAAACAATGGAGTACAGAAAAAAGGAAACAAAAAGGACACGGATAGGATGTGAATAGAAGTATTACAAAAAGTAATTTATTTTAATGTTTTGTACGATTCTGCTAATTTTTGGACGTGACCAATTCTGAATCATCTCTCTTTGTGATACCCCGGACTAATGAAGGCTAGTCATTTTTTATGACACAATACATTGTGTTGCTATTTTAAATGAATTTGCGTTTATTTGAATTTATGGGAAAGTGTATCATGCAGAAAGCGAGGAAAGAAGAGTATGGTAAGCTTATACAAGGATGCATTATTCTTGACCAAACAGGGCCCATATTTGCAATTCAAAGTAAAAATTTAAATTCTTTATTGTGGAATGAAAGGTTCGATTCAATCTACAAATTTTCGTAAAATGCATAGAGTAGATGCAATTTGAGCAACGATTCAATTTCCAGATATTTTTCCCTTATAAGATTCCTTGCCTGAATTTATACAGCAGTACAAATTAATGATTTCATATTGCTACTGGCAGCATAACTCAAGCTCGCGTTTATCAAATCAGTGGCGGCCATTCTCATCTAATTTCGATTTGAGGAATTTGTCAGCAATGTTGCCGAGCTCAGGTTTTGATTATCAGAGTACAGCAATGCGATGATGTCACAACCACTTGATGACGTCACACTCGGAGCTAATGAACGGGTGACATCACGAAATGTAATGCGCGACGTGACATTTAGCTGCCAGGGATGCTTGCTTATTTTATCTAATTTGCAGAGTCGTATACCATCACCTCAGCCGCACCAAATGCGCTGTACCGTGTGTCCTCCAAAGAGCAAATAAGAATTAACTAGCTGATCGCTTATAACCATGGATCATTGCCTTAATATGGAAGGACTGTGTAGTCTTTGGTCTACTGCTCAAGGTTGAAACCATTTGGTGAGGTAACAGCAAAAAGAAGAGGATACAGTCATGCATTATCCAGCAATTGAAATGTCATTGGAGTTGTAGTTTGGCCTTTTTGGTAACAAGGAGGCCGAATACTGGATCGTTTTCTTTTATTAACGTGTCTCCTTTAATGAGATGATTAAATCTGTAAACCCAATGCCTACACAATGAGCCAAGACTAAGGATCTTTTTCAGCATTTATTGACAGGTTCCACCGACTGGGAAATACTTTTAGGTTTAATATTTTTTAAATTATAACTAGTGGGAATTCAATAAAAGAGAAATGGGGAGGCCAAGGTTTGCTTCAGAGTAATTTAAACATTATTATAATTATAATTATAATTATTACATTTTATTATAATAATAAAATGTTCCTTTATGACTAAGGATTACTTTCCAATTGACTGAAAGTTCGTAAGATTGAACGTACACGAGACCGAAAGTTTCGGCCTCATAGGCCTTCTATCAACTTATTTGAATGTTCAAAAGACAGAACGTCCACGAGACCGAGATTCACGCGATCTACTTTCGCCGAGATTCGTGTTATACGTTCTTCTCACGTAGGCCTTCGCCACTTGAGGTCCTTCGGCTCGCGGAGCATCTGAAGCCTGGAAAGATCGGAGCAACCAGAGGTGCAGTGTCTTCCTAGTTCTCTATGATCTTTAGCTCTATCCACCTTGGTGACAATTAACTCGCCAAACGTTCAGATTTTGCAGTTTTATAATATATCATTAAGTTTTTATCGTGCTGATGTTTGTGTTTTCTTTTATATTTCCACTCAGGACGACGGCCGAGATGGACAGTGTGAACTCGACGGAGGCAAGCGGGTTGCCTCACTCGACCACCTCACTGGTCTTCATCTGCTTCTTCGCCCTCCTCAGTCAGGGACTCACCATCGGCGGTAACATCCTCGTCATGCTGGCCTTCCGCATCGAGCGTCGTCTCCACAAGCCTAGCAACTACTTCTTGTTGAGCCTGGCAGCCGCCGACCTTATCATCGGCCTTTTCTCCATGCCCGTGTATTCCCTCTACCTCATCATGGGCACCTGGCCCTTTGGTTCTGTTGTTTGTGACCTGTGGATATCCGTGGACTACGCATGCTCAGAGGTTTCCGTGTTGAACCTGATACTCATAAGTGCGGATCGAATGTGGTCAGTACGTAGCCCTGCCCGCTACAGGAACAAAATGACACTGCAACGCGCGGTGATAATGATTATCCCTACATGGGTTTTACCTATACTGCTTTATTTTACATCCGTTCTCGGTTGGACTAAATTCACAAATACTCAAGATACACGACCCAATGGACAATGTTATTTACCTTTTATGCAGGATGCGCCTGTTTTCACAACAATTTCGACAATTTTTGTGTACTGGGTGCCGTTAATTGCAATTTTTATCATGTACGCTAACATCTATAGGACCATTAGAAATTTAGCGAAAAGGAAGAAAAAGGGCAGGGAAAAACGACCGAGTTCTGCACTGCCTCGTCCATGCCCTGATCAACTGCAGCGGATAGCTCCTGTGGAGCCCTCTTGTCTCGAAACCGAAGCTCCAGGTATGGTGACAGACTACACGACAACGACGACGACCACGACGTCCACAAGTCTCACTGTAGAGCCTTCACGTCCGGACGTGGCACGTGTCGGGGTTAACAAATGCCTCGTGAAGCGAAACAAATCAGATGCGGATAGTTGTCTCGATTCCAGCGATGAAACATCGTCATCGGAGCGAAGACCAGAAAGCACAATGTCGGCGTCGTCAAAGAATGCAGTGGAGTCAAAATCAAAGCGAGTAAATAATAACAAGGTGAAAGTTGGTTCGTTAAAGCGAGGTAATCAAGGAAGTATGAGTGGAAGTAAGCGAGGTTTTCGCAGGACGCGTTCACAACGCGGGGAAAGACAAAGTCGAAGCGAGCGGAAAGCAACACGCACCTTGACCTTCATTTTAGGGGCTTTCTTTATCACATGGAGTCCATACTCCACCATCGTCATCATCATGGCATGGTGTGAGACATGTGTTCCGGATGCGCTCTATCATTTTAGTTATTATCTCTGCTATATCAACAGCACCATCAACCCGCTCTGCTACGCCTTCGCCAACGAATTATTTCGAGCGAGTTTCCATAAAATTCTGACTTGTAAGACGTGCCGTGGATAATAGCTTGCATGTGATGGGAATGAAGATGTTTCTGTTTAAAAAAAAAACTATCCTGAGTTGAAACAGTTGTGGTCTTCTTAAAACGAGGAACCCTTTTCTGACAAAAATATTGACAATGTGATGCTAATTTCATTCGTTCCACACATTGACACCACCTGTGGAATACACAATCAAATTCATCACGACGAATGTGTGACGTCATCGTTACGTAGCTTCTGTGCACTAACACTGAGTCACGTGATACACACACGTTGCCAGCATATTAATGGACGACAATGATAAGAATGAGTCTAAACTGTACAGAACTCATTACACATAAACTATGAACCAGTGTATCACGTGACAGCAAGCTTGTAATCGTTTCACTGTTTCAAACACGCCCCACCTGACTGAATATCATCTTGAAGAAAAAATATCTTGAAAATATTCACCGAGATTATATCAACATGGAAATGGACGTCTTCTTTCTAAAAAATTCACTGAGTGTTTCCCCATTACTGTAAATAATGACAAAAGAGTTCGTTCGTCAATTTAGTCGGTCCATTAGATGGTCAGTATAGGCAGTGCATACCAAATTACCTTTCAACCCATGTTATCTTCCGATGTACAATACCTTATCCCTAGTTACACAACATGTAGTAAGAGTAATTTAAGGAAAACTGATCTTGATATCAACATTTGCATTGTTTTCGACACAGTAACATGTCTCATAAGTTTGTTTTAATCTAGGACCATTGTTGTAGAGCAACCGATTTATCTGGTTATGAAATTGCAATCAATTGCAATAATAATGATATAATGTATGCAAGTTCTGTAGGTAAATATTGGTACTCACTGGAAAAGTCTATATTGATTAATTTCTCTTTTGTCTCCACTATACGATGACGTAATGATTTTATAAGAAAGGGTTTGATCCCAACAGGTACAAATTATATGTTCAATACAATTTCGAACTATGAATCAACAGACATAAACAAAAATAACTTCCCGAACTGCCTGTTTATGTCACTACCATGCAGAAAAATGTGAAGCATTTTCCCAATACCATGCTTCATATATCATTTTTTTTAGTTTGTATTTTTATTGGCGAGAATTGGATTTGAAAAAAACAGGAGAGAAAGAGGAAACATGAAAGAATATATCGAGGGGAACACAATAGGTCCGTGAGTGTAATGTGTTGGGGAAAATAATCAATATGTTGGTTTTATATGATACAAATATATATTTACATATTTTCAAACAAATAGATTATTGAAGAAAACAAAAATGCTTCGTATCGTTGATTAAGGAGTAAGGTAGCCAAATGTATTTGTTGTCTTTAATCCTTTAAGCCCTTAAAATTCGCTAACGCTATTGCAGATAACCCAATTTTTATTTAAATTGAGTGAATGTCTTATGTTGGGGGAAGTGGACAAACTGATGCGAACTGTGTGAATATATTAACGTTGCGATAAGTGTAATATTGAAATGTTGAGATTAGATTCGAGAGAAAGAGAGGTAAGAAAGAAAAGGAGCAGAGGAGTGAGACTTATTAAACTAGAAATAATTGAAGAAATAATTGAATAATGGGTGATAGCAGGAACTGAGACAATAAGGGGGAAATCAATAGTGAGCAAAGAAAGAAAGTATGTAAGTTTCATCCTCTATTACAGGATAATGTGCACCAAAATCACAAAATGCTCTCCAAGTCTGTGCACCGAGGTATATTTCATTCACTTACATTGTGAATAACATTCGGAAAGAGATGTGATTTTATGGCGACAGAGATAAGAGAGAAAGGGAAAGAGAGGGAGACAGAGAGAGGGGAGAGAGAAAGAAAGGGTAAGAGATATATATAGAGAGAGAAAAGAGAGACTGACGCGGAATCCTACAGGATCAAGATGACGAGGAAGATTAGGTATTAAAGGCACTATGTACCATTTGCAAGCCAAAAAAATGAAAAAGTTAAATTCCAACTGCATTTGAAAGATAAGACTAATTTAGAACTTCCCTAAAAAAGGTGGGGCTTGAAAATGTCTTCAAGTGGGAAAATAACGACTATTAGTTGTCAAATGGACTTTAGGGCTATAGAGCCCAAAAGTAATAGTCTTGATTTTCAAACAATTGTACTGAATGGTCATACGTTTTATGCTGCGCAAAGATTCAATCAGTATAATCTTGGCCATCACAAGAAGTGGGTTATTGATGTAGACAAATGCTCAAGTACCCTTTACAACTCTTTTCATGCTTGTTATTACCAAAGAAGAAAAAAGCCAGTCAGTCACTCAATAGTGGCTGACAGTGAAGTCTAGCAAGTAAACGGGTTTCCTTGCATAATTTAAATATATGAGGACACTGCTAACGTTTAAATTTCACAGATAGGACATACATGACATATTCATAATTCCTGCAAAGTTCTACAGAATCTGAGGTTGGCTGCAAAAGGGACATAGTACCTTTAAACGAGAAAGCTATATAATGTGTAGAAAGAGACTTGAATAGAGAGCGCGGGAGAAGGAAAGAGATCATCGAGGGAGTTACAAAACAGAGAGAGACACAGGTGGAGAAAGAGAGAAAGAGAAATTGCATGTATATCGGCAGTGAAAGAGCGAGGTTTTGAAACTGAAATAGAACTGATAGGCGTTGGGCTGAAGATGACTTGAGGAGATGAAATAAGTGAAAGTAATGAAGAGAGAAAGACAAGGGATAGGTGAGCGAGTGAGACAGAGGAGAGGGATACATGTATAAGCGAAAGAAGATACAAACTGTGTTTATGTAAGAATAAAAGTGGAAATTATAAAGAGAGGAGAGGTGGAGTAGTGTTTCAGATGGGATATCAAAGATTTACATAATGCGTAAAAGGAGAAGGGTTTCAAAGTCATGCGCAGGGAAGTACATGTATATGGTTCGTGCTCAAAATGAAGAAAACAGAGAGACAGATATCTTGTTCAGACTGTAGGAAATGTATAGGAAACTCGTATAGAAAACAATCGTCGAAAACAGAACCATTGTGCAGAGCCAGGAGGAAAAAGGGGGAGAAAGAGGAGGGGGAGAAAGATGGAATGGAGAGATGCCAATTATAATGTCATAAGTGGAAAAAATCAAAAGTTGAAACCTGCTGATAAATGATGAATTGTATTAGATGTGCATTAGATTATATACAGTACATGCACGAATGTGAGAGAGACGGACGAGTTGACAAATTAAAGAGCCCCATGCAGTGAGAAACTATTTAATGCTTCAAAGTCATAGAAAATGTAAGTTTGGTGTGAAATAGCAAATGATGAACGAATGAAGGGAGAAGAAGAAGAAAAATGTGAAAAGGAGTGTCGTAAATGAATGACGAGAAGATTTTGAAAAAAAAAGGATAATGAGTGACTTATGAATTGTGAAATTAAACGCGCAGACCGAGAGAGAGAGAGAGAGAGAGAGAGAGGAAAGGGGGGGGGGGAAGTGAGATTTGAAATAAATAACTAGTTTAGTGCTACATGTATTATCTCTGGGAATAAAAACAAGAGCCGCGCCTCCATGGCATAATAAAATTTCCCTCTAGAGAATCATGGTTGGAGACGAAAAGTTGAATAAAAGATAATTAAAATCGAAAATCTGAAAGGGAAAAGTCAAAAATAATATACAAAGTTTATCTTATTCGAAGTTAGCTAGAGCACGATCTAAACTAACATTGGCATTATTAAATAGTTTTGTATTTCTTTCTTTCTTTAATCTCTTTTAGATACACGTTGAGTCTGGGCGGGATGCAGATGATTTAAAATACAGTTTGTATCATATATTCAATACTATAAGCAAGAAGTGAAGGTTTGAAAGCTACTGATCGTTGATGGCGTAGTTGCCCTAGCCTATACTGGAGTAGCGTGTCAAAAATGAGAAAGAGTTAACAGGAAAAAGTGTGCAGAATGCAGTTTAAGTGAGGAAGGCAATAGCGGCAAAACGAATCTTGATAAATTCCATAAATTTCCTAAATCTGTCTTTCCGAAAACGAGTATAAACTTGTGAAAACGATTTATTCCAGGGCAACATCATTTTTGCAGCTTTTGTGATTAGAAATAAAGATTTCTTCGCAAAATAAACTCGTGTTCGTTAAGCGTCATAACGACCCGTTATTCATGAGATAGATCTTGATGTACTGGGAGCTTATATCGTATCAGTGAAATGTAGCTACCAAGTCGAAGCTAAGATCGTTACATGTTGGTTGTGGTAAACAGTGACCTTTAGATTTCTTCAGTAAAACTTTTAAATGTAAAAAAAATCAACAGGTTATAATATTTTGTAGTATCGAATCCGACTAATGATTGGAAATAAATACTCACGAATTTCAAAAGAAGAATAACGTGTATGAACCTGGCGTAAGCTAGTTGAGTTTGGCATTTGAGAAATCTGAATCTGAACATAATTATATTCCCTGAAATGAAGTCACATTTGTAAACCTCATTATAGTGTTGCTTCTTCCTCTCTGCTTCCAGCTTAGTGTGGTTCCCGACGACATAGATGTTGTGTCTTATGAATGTTTCGTTTATATTCCATTTTCGAAAGCACTAAGTTTGTACATAACACTTTATGGTTGAGCTAATGATGACCTGGGCCCCGTCTTACAAAGAGTAACGATTGATCCAAATCAATCGTAAGTCCTCCAATCAATCGCAAGTTTGTAGTCTCTTATTTTGTATGTACATAGTTGCGATTGATATCAACTCTTTGTAAGACGGGGCCCTGATAGCCCAATGCTATAAACAGCATGGATGTAAGATCATGAGCTAGCCATCATATAAGTTGAACTTTGTTTTAGAAATGTTTCCAACTGCAACAATAATCAATGGGAATATTATTTGAGTCATTTGTAAACATATTTTCGCTTTTATTTCATGAATATGGTTTATGTAACTTTATTTTACTAATAAAGTTGGTTCGGTGACTTAAGTATATTTGTCATTCCGAATGATCGTGTTTCATAATGAGTTGTCCGTGGTTGATTAGGGTAAACTGATCTTTGAGTTACTTTCTCCCCGAAAATGTGTAGCGACGCGCGCTCTTGTAAAAAAAAACATTAACTATATTTTGTATGAAATTTGATACATCGCAGGATAATACGTTCACCAGTTCGCGGATATTGGAAGAAGATATGCATGCAAAGTTGATAGCTACTTTCTGTTTTGGATAAATGGTACTCATAATGTGAAACAAAGTCATGATAAATACCGAATATTTCCCCCGTAACAAAAATTAAAAATGTACCATCAGATCTAAACCATATTCGCTCGTTCTCTTCTAAATCCTTTTGTTTTGAAACCGTCAATTTTTACGAGAAAATCACGCTTTATAAATTATTTGTCTCCCAGCTGATTTTGAAACAATAATCCCCAGAGCTTTTTTCCGAAGAAAAAAAAAGAAGAAAAAAGAGTGCAAGATCACGATGAATATATAATTACTTGAAGTATAAGTTCTAAAAGCAATTCATAAATATGAACACAAAATGTTCTGATCCATGCAACTATAAGAAAGCATACAGAATGGCGTTAACGCATATATTGTATTGCCTGGATCCCCTTCTTGCTCCAAACAGAAGCATCTAGTCAATATTTTGTTGATATTGTTGGTGTATTTTTTTCTTCTCCCTGATGCAGTGAAATCCTTTTACATTTTTCTTCTCCTAACGTCTCTAATTTCACGTTGTCTATAAAAAAATGCTCTAAAGTGCGAATTTGTTTCGAAATAACCACCGAAGTGGGGAATGCCAACCAGTAAGAGGGCATCATAATTCAACTATCTAAACGGAAGATGTGAAACATAGCTGAAATATGAACTAAACTTTAAATGTAGGAGCTTCCTATTCCATTCTGAGTGACAGTAACTTTTTTTTTCTGGAAATAAGACACACTCATGCATATGGAGAGTCGGGTTCACAGTGCGATTAGTGAAGCGGCAGAATAATGAAGGAGGATGATGTGTTTTTTTTGGTACCAGAATCATCACAACCTAGTTGAAAGCATAATTTGTTATGAGTGCATTTAAATTTGATGTAAGATAGGACAGTGGTATCAAATGAAAAAAATAATTAAATAAAGTTTTGAAATACCATTGCTTTGTCACCATTGAGTCTATAGCAACGAAAAATAAACCAAATATTGATAGGTACCCAGCAGGGGAAAAAGATGCACCGTCAGGCGAAATTCAAACGGAGGCGATAGAAAAATGTCACCATCGTGAGCGTTAGAGTTGGCGTTAGCGATATTAAGACATTAATTTGAAGCACTTAATTGGATAAAGAGTATAAAATAAACTAGAGTTATTAGTCGGTATTGAACTTCTATGATTCTTGATGCGATTAGAAGTGTACATGATGTTGCATCATTAAAAACAGATTATATCAAGGTGGATGAAATGTATCATACATTAATATCTGCACCTATATTTTATAGTAAAGATAACGCTGCATATGATCTTTATGTACAAAAAACAAAATGGATTAAAAATGCTCAGCCACATGTGATGTATGTGGGTATTGCATTCTAAGCAACATAAAGTTGAGGAAAGTGGAGTTTTTATGTAAATGGTTTAAGAAGCTATAAAATGCATTTACAAAGAATTTATATTATTTATGTATGAGCAGATGTGAAATAAAGATTAAAGATAAATCCCAGAAAATGAGGTAAAATGTGTTATTTCTTTCAGTGTTGAGCGTTATTATACTGACATGAAAAAATACAAATGACGGATAAAGGATAGAAACCATTAAGTCACAGAAATGTGCCAACAATGCCAGATTCAGTAACCGGCATTTTCAACCTTTTACTAAATACAATGTTAACCATACCCCACCCCCCCCTCCCCCTTTATATCAGATGGATGAAATACATGGGATATTATAGGAGGTGCATGTACTCCCCCAATCTCTCTCTCTCTCTCATCTTTTGCAATCAATATCATAGTCATTATCTCAATAAATAAGACATGTAATCGTCGTTACCGTCCCTACCCTCTAGCATCAATTGATATCAAAATGTCATTTTCGATATTTCCGTACTACCTCGTCATGAGGTCAGCTTGCATTTGTCCGGTGTCAATGTGCTACCCGCTTATTGTTATGTATATTAAAGAATTTGGTTGAATGCATTGGGTAGTTAGGCTCCGCTACACTCTACATAGCTCAAACAGGTGATGCATATATGTAGTGGGGTTGCCTTACCTAGCAGTCTATTGTCAGGGCCTATGGGTTGGAGGTGAATGAAAGTTGAAGCTTCATAGTTAAAAAAAAAGCATTTTGCGCTGTAAGTCTAAGTTCAATGGAGTATCAAGATCAACAGAACCGACATTGAGGCCTGCCCCGAATCCCTGCATTTGGTCAACCAAGGATAACTGTAAGTTGAATCCACATGTGTATTCTTTGTTTATTGTGTAAATATCCCTGTGAGGTGATCAGAGAGTCTTAACTAGAAACAAATTATAGTCACCTGAGTTTACCCAGTTGTCACAACCTCGTCATGAGGCCAGCTTGCATTTTCTCCGGTGTCAATTCTTTTTAAAATCAACATTTTTTGTTCACATTTTATTTTCGACTTAGCCGGTCATTGACCTTATCCTTACCACCCTCTCCAAAATAGAGAAAACATTCATTTGTCTCATCGTGGCTATTTAAGGTGGGAGTCGGATTATGATGAATCGTGTGAACACTGCATGGAGAATCTGAACGATAGAGGGCGTACAATGGTACACCAACTATCCGAAAAATCAACTTCGACAAGTTTAACATATATAGTTCAAGCTTCTATAAACCTTAAATTTTAGTAGGCAAGATTTCGTAGACTCTTGTGGACTTTCTCAAACAATTTTAAGGTTGGTAAAAGCCTTACTTACATTTAATGATTATCATAATGAGAGTTTTCTGTATCATTCGATAAATTAATTTTTTTTAATGAAAGACTGTCCCCTTCTACTATTTATTTAGGCTGCTCATGGTATGAACATCGTGGTGGTGCAAAATACATATATTTAAAATTACTTATTGAAATATATTTGCACATATATCCTAATATTATTTGTATTCAATGTAAATGCAAGCTTAATGGTACGAAATATCCAAGCATGACAACCCAAATGCTAGGCTACTACGACAGCAATAAGACAAACAATTCAAAAATAATGAGAAGCAATGCATTGTCATTTGGGTTGAATTATACAGCATTCTTCCATGAAGTAAAGCTCTATGATATTTAATCAATGAGAAACAAATATATTTGTTATCAGTAGACATATATCGAGACATATTTGTATCAGTAGACATATATCGAGACACATAAGACAAGCAATACACCATTAATCTGAAAGACAATCCACTTGAAAGCGTAATTATATACACACACAAAATTAATGAAAGACTCGTATAAGTCAATCATTAAAAATATATGTACTATGATCCCAAACACACTAGTAAAAACCTCATTCTTCATTATGTTACAGGCAATATAATGTCGTAATGGATTAAATAAATCTCTGTGCAACCATACATCAATAATAGTTACCAAATTGCACATCCGAATTTTGCTATAATTTGCACAACCGGGATTTTTAAGTTTGTCCATTAAGATTAAGTGGTACATCTTACATTATAGGAATTTGAAAATAGCCATGCCTTGCCTTGCCTATAAAATATGATAAATAAATAAAATTATATTACTATTTCTTTAAGGAAATTTGAGTGATTTACATTAGAAGTATACCTTCCCATTCCCAAAACAACATAAACATGAATAGCGTAGTGAAATATGTAAGCTTACTAATGAGATAATGTTAAGGAAAACAATAGGTTCATTTTTTTTTAAACAATCGAATGAAACGACGATGAGAAAGCAGTATCTCTTATCTAAAATTTATCATTTTGTATCTATAATTCGAAATTAATTCATTCTATTATCGACAGCAAGATCATCACAAATAATAATAATAATAATAACATTTTATTTACCCAGGGTAGCCACTTCAGTTGTGAAACTGCTCTTCCAGCGGGCCCTGCATAACATAATATATTATTACTACCCTTTTCCAATCTAATATGCTGAGCGCCTAGCTAGAAGGTAGAAGGTCCCATTGTTATAAGTCTTTGGTATGACTCGGACAAATTGTTAACACTGAGTGAGTTTTATCTCTGAAGATACTTTTGCCAATAACTATGCCTACTGCTGTTTAAATCCTTGTTCGCAAAAAGAGATATGAAACATTAAACAAAATATTTACATGTCCATACAATAAACGTTTCGCTCTGTTGTCTTTTTTCTGTAATTCAAGAAGATTTTGGCATAGTTTAGACATTTTTATTTCATTTGACAATGTTTAGTATAGTACATTTCACTATTCGATGACTGCAAGATCGATAGGCGTGAAAATTACTGAATCGCGACAATGTTATGCCACAAAACTAAATTCTGATTTGGACATTTAAGCCATATCGAATATTAAAATGATGGGTAACACCATGAACTCCGACAAAGTTAAAATCTAAAAATATTTAGTATAGTACATTTCACTATTCGATGGCTGCAACAAAACTAAATTGTGATTTTGACATTTAAGCCATGTCGAATATTGAAATGATGGGCAGAACCGTGAACTCCAACAACAATCTAAGAATATTGCTTAAATGTGTAGCGCTCTAGCAAATAAGGTAACGATCTACATACACCTGGGTGACAAGTGGCAACCATGGAAGTGCCGGACTGGGATTCACATCTTCGATCTTTTAATGGAAAGTCAAGTAAATTAACCACGGAATTTCCTTTATATATGCGCTATGAAAAGCTACAACATCGATTGTTGATGTTGTTTTCTGTTTCACGTTAGAAAATTTACATTTTTATATTATACATTATTTCACAATCATCCTGGTATTTTCAAATCAAGATACTTCCTTTGACACTACACTTGAGCCAAATAAAGCTCATAATATATTGTCAATATTATGTTATTAATAGTCACTAAAAATTATCCGTAAAACGTTCAGTCGTTCTTGTGTTTCTTTTGCTTCTTGTTATGCTCGCCAACCACGTCCATGAGACCATTAGACATGTAGTAAGGCTTCTCTGGTGATCCATCATTCCTCTCCAAATCCTCGAGGAAAGAAAGAAAGAGGGTATCGACGGCCATGTCGTAAACCCCGAAGAATGCCGTCGTGATGAAGAAGGATACGAACGCAATAGCGGTAATCGGCACCCAGACGTTGTTGATGTCCGGGACGACGTAAAACGTGTTTTCTCCGGACGTCACCTGGAGCTGAAAGAAGTAGAACGCACCGACCGTGATGCCAACAACGATAGAAGATTTCAGGAGGAAGAGCATAAAACCGGTCACACCATTTAGAACGCTCACGCGTACGATGTTTCGCATGAGGAGATTGAAGGCGCTTGAAGCCGAAGAGCAGAAATTGCGCCCGTAGACGGCAATCTCGATGTACGCATTCTTACTGATGAAACGCAGGACCTTCTCCAGACACCAAAATCCACATTTGCAACAGCAGAATATGAATTTAGTCACGACGTTACTGGCATCTTTGGTCCTTTCTTCGACCAGTTCGAGGAGGGCTCGGATGAGCTGGACAATGGTGATGATGAGAGCGCCGAAAGCCATAGAGCCCAGGTGATAACGAATGGCTCGCCAGAAAGAATAGGCAAGCGGGAGACTTGGAATATCTTGAGGCTTCGTAAAAGCCCAGTAGTACGAGGCAAAGGCTCCTGCTAAGGTCACCTCTCCTAAAGCTATGAAGAAGTTAAGCATCCACCACAATCCTACTACTCCATAGATCTGAAGGTAGATGGTGTATGACGGCAAGCCATAGCTGACGAAATGACAGTTCGCGGGGGCGTACAGTGAAGCGTTGAACGTCATTTGATCACAAGTCGTACCATTCGTCACTGGGGAATCACTTGGAGCATTGGACACCTCGAACACAGCATCACCAGCAGATGCCAAGTAGACGGCTACAAAAGCCCAGAACGCCACGTAGCCAAACTGAAAGACAAACGGTAATAGAGGCCATGCCAGTGTGCTTAACATCATGCCCACCGCATTGCTTGCCTCACCTAGCAATTTGGCTGCGAGGCGGAACCGGTTGAATAAGACCAGGCACAGTAGTAGCAGGATGGCGGCAATCACGGTCAAGATAATGGCGAAAGCTAGCCACGTGCTCTCTGATTGGGGATAGCTGAAGAGATTGGAAGGATCGTCTATGGGCATGGAATAACATTTCTCTTCTCCGTCCCTGTAGCATAACCAGGTGTCATAGCAGTAGTACATACCCACTGCTAGCAACGCGAAGAGACACAGGATGGATCCAAACACCACCACGTCCATCAACCATCGCATGAGGATGAGAATGAAGAACGACAAGAGGACGACGATGCAGAGAGCCCCTACGATGTATGGCCAGGTTGACTTGAAATCGTCGACGACACTCTGAATCTGTTCTGACTGTTGTATATAGTTGATGAACTTGGCGAAGACCTCTAAGTTCGTGTCGCTGATGTTACGTCCGTTCGGTGTCTCAGATGGCGCCTCTGCAAGGAATTAAGGGAACATGAAATATCGACGTTTTAATGAATATCGAATTTACAGTGTTTGCACTTGGAGAGCAAAATAATGATTCTGTTTTTTTTGTTTTTACTAATGTAAAGCGCTTTGAGCATGTTTATGTAAAAGCGCTATATTAATATCAATATGCATGTATGTATCGATAGTATTGCGTCACCACAAAGAACAATAATATTTTTTAAAATTTAAGGATTAATATTCAATTTAACACTATATTCAGTGGCAGCAGATAACGAATCTATCGGTTAGGCTTTTAAAATCAGAAATGAGCAACATTTGTTTTCTTCTGGAATATACATATTGGGCAGTGATTAACCCAAACACCAATCGTTCCACTTCAGATTATTATTAAGTCTATTACTTGATATGCATTAATAACAGTTGATTTGTTTAATGAAGGCTTATAATAAGGAAAATAAAGGAGTAAAAATGGTACGGGGTAAAGAAAAAAAGTGCGAGATATTTGCCATTTAAAGAAGCCTATAATTATGCAACATAGACTAAATGTAAGAGAGTCCAGGGGCGTAAATCCCGGGGGGGGGGGGATGGGGGGATGCATCCCCCCCACCCCTGGCTTGAAGGAGGGGGGGGTGGCCTGTACAAAAATTCCCCCCCCCCCCTGAGATTACAAAAAAAAAGAGTGAAAAATAGGAAGAAGAAGAAAAAAAAAATGATTGTTTCAATTTCAGCATAATGCATGAGAAATGAGTTATTTTTGTATGTATGTATAACTGTATAGCCTACACGTATACAGTATGTCACGATCATTAAGCGAAGTTGCGCGACGTGCGCGAACAAGCACTTCATAAACTTCAGAATAATTTTTCGTTATTTTGCAAGGTATTATCATAGTCCAGACGTAAAGTGCGCCAACGCGCGAGCGCTTAAAAAGTGCAAATCACCTAGTAGATGCCCGGCTCCCCCCCCCCCCCCCCCTCAGTATTATTTAGGGAACGCGTATGCTCGTTCCCTCCCTTTGAATGCACCCCCCCCCCTATCTCAGGACTGCCAACATTTCTGAATCCCCCTTTCGCCGCCTTTCGCTGGCTTTTCCTGCCTTGGAGACCCCCCTCCCAATCCGGAACACTGCTAAATGTACCACCCCCCCCCCCCCCTCCCCCCAATTTCAGGTGAGCTCTTGTTGATCGAGGGGGACTGGGGACCAATGTTTTTACTTTTCAAAATGAAATAATCCTGAATGAGCTTTCAAAGCTAGCAGGAATTTCAGGAATTTGATCCCGAGATTTGATCAATTTTCTATGATATTCAAGATATTTTATAACCCCCTTTTTACATTTCTCAGGGGTCCAAAGAGAGACAAAAACCCACCCCCTTTTTAAAGAAATCTCCAGGTGAAAAGTCAAATACACCCCCTTTTTTTTACAATTCTCGGGCCGGATTTTGTCGCGCGAAAAAGTACCCCTTCCCTGGAGATTTGAGGAACGCGCATGCGGTCCCTCCGACCCAGGAGTGTGTGTGGGGGGGGGGGGGGTGAAGACTGAAGTTCCAGACCTGGCGTGTTCAAGACTTACAGTGGCCGTTTGTCTCTTCAGTTATTTCAAGGTAAGCCTGAACACATTCTTATTATTTTTATATTTGAGAAAGGATTTGGCTGAGGAAATTAAAGAATTCATTAGATTTAATTAATAAACACAGTAGATGTATCATTATATGAATTCCAGAAACATTTTTTAAGAGGTGTGAAAACTGTGAACGCATCTGATTGAGAGTGATAAATAATACGGTAACTGTTGCATTGCCCAAGTCCTACTCCGTGGTTGTCATTTGTTCACACCTTAAACTTAAGGGACAAGGGGATGATAAATTATTTAAGGGCTGCAATGCATGTGATGTTTGTGTAGGTCTATGAATGAATGAATTTGTCGTGTATATTGAATGAATTGAATTGAATTCAGATTAATATAGGGCTTAATAAGAGTCGAAAATGGTGCAACGAATCGTCTTCTTTCTATAAAAATTAAATCAAACGTCTAAGCTTTTCGCGCTTCGCGCGGGAATGGGGAAACTGAATTTAGACAAGGATTAAGAGTCGAGAACAGTACACCCAATCGTCTGCTTTCTCTAATAATTTAAGGAAACGTCAAGGCTTCCGCGCTTCGCGCGAGAGGGGGAAACTGAATTCAGATAAATAAGGCTTATTAAGAGTCGAAAACGGTGAAACGAATCGTCTTCTTTCTCTAATAATTTAATGAAACGTCAAAACTTCCGCGCTTTGCGCGGGAGGGGTAAACCGAATTCAGACAAAGATTAAGAGTCGAGCACGGTTTAACAGATCGTATACTTTCTCTAATAATTTAATGAAATGTCAAAGCTTCCGCGCTTTGCGCGGGAGAGAGAGGGAGAAACTGGATTCATACAAGGATTAAGAGTCGGGCACGGTTCAACGAATTGTCTACTTTCTCTAATAATTTAATGAAACGCCAAAACTTCCGCGCGGGAGGGGGGGGGGCGGGGGGGGGGGGGGGGAACTGAATTCAGACAAGGATTAACGGTCGAGAACGGTACAGCAAATCGTCTTCTTTTTATAATAATTTAATGAAACACCAAAGCTTTCGCGCTTCGCGCGGAAGGGGGGGGGAATTCATTCAGACAAGGGTTAACATTCGAGAACGGTACCATAAATCGTTTTCTTTTCCTAATAATTTAAGGAAACGTCTAAGCTACCGCGCTTCGCGCGATAGGCCTATCACCCCCACCACCCCCCCCCCCCCCTAATGAAGCGCGCTCTTTGAGTGATTCGCCTGCTCACTACCGCCCCTCCCTTAAATGAGATCCTAGCTCCGCGCCTGCATTAAAATATATAGCTATGATGCTGACTAAGTTGACGAAATAATTCGTATATTTATGTCGTCGAGGAAAAATGACCATTTGCGCATACGCAAGTACTATAGATAGTCCGTAGGAAAAACAATTTAGCCTTCGGCCCCGGGTAAATAGGGTTAAATTTGTAAATATTGGGACAATTAATTTTGTCGGTAATTGGGGGCTAGTTTTGTCGGTAATGTGTTTGGGTATGTGTGTGTTTGTTCGTTTGTGTGTGCGTGCGTGTGTGTGTGTGTGTGTGTGTGTGTGTTTGTGCGCGTGCGTGCGTGTGCGTGTGTGTGTGTGTGCGTGTTGTGTGTTTGTGCGTACGCGATCGCGCGCGCGTGCGTAAATTAGTGTGGGCGTGTGCTCGTGCTAGTATGTGATGGCTATCGCCGATCATCCCCCCCCCCCCCCCCCACTCCTCGGTACGGATTTACGCCACTGAAAGAGACATACTGGTTTTCACTAAATACTTCAAAGCCACTAATTAACCCGGTGTTATCGCCTTAGGGGGCAACGTTCACGTATGGGAATTTCCCAAGTTTCTCAGTCTCTAGGATATATCTTTAGTGCAATTAATTAGGCACTCCCTTTCAAAGTATGAAAGGTTATCTTTTCTTAAGATAAATTATGCGGTATGTAAATACTACACAGTATTCGGATATTAAACTGATTAATTGTCACGATTTAAATTGAGGGTAAATATTGATTCGTGTTGCGTGGCAATGGCCCATTGACTGTTGTCAGTGGTTAGATAATGATCCCTTTTCCAGGAGTAGACGAATATGGGGAAAAGAAACCATTTAGATTAGTTCGTGTCTTTCATTGTTTCAAAAAATCTGCCATGTTTTAATCTGTTTTCGAATTTAGCATTTCGTGACCCCTCGTTATACCTGCGTACAAAATAGTCTATGTAGGGTAATTCTGTGAAAAAGAAAGAAAAGAGAGATTTTTTGATACGCAGAATCCCGGTTCAACGCGTTATCAAAAAATCCTTTTCATGTTTGTACCTCATTATCGCTGGTACAGTGTTTTTTTTGTTCAGAAGGAAAAAAAGTCAGGAATTATTGTCTTGCGGGAAGAAGTAAAACCTAAGATTTAATTACTGCGAACAATCAAACATATGTTTGGGTAAGATAATTACATTTATATCTATTTCACAGGTTTTCGTTGAAATAAAGAACACTCATCGATTGGAAGAAATACATTGCTATATTGCATCTTTAATAAAAAAAGAACTTGGTTCTCTTGGTTCTTTACATGCTGGCTCTATGAGGAAATCAATAATGTTAGGAGATCCTTTTAGTTTTATGACTCAGTGTTTACAATTTTGAGCCAACGCTTATAAACGATTACGTAATAGAAGACTCCTGACATCGTACTTTGATCCTAGCAAAATTTTGCCATGATATCTTTTCCAATAAACTAGGTAATGATAAGCAACACAAAAAATGTAGAAGCCTCGCAAATTCCAAGTATATTAGCACTACATCCTTTTATGTAGGGTTTTCAGAGAAAGAAAAATCTGTATAAATAGAAATGTCAAAGTAAATGATTAAATGGCTTGCAAAACTTTTTCTTTAATGACCAATACTTTTTTATTGTGAATAATTTTGATGCGAACCTATATTTCATTTTGTATTAATCTTTATTTTTGATTTTAATATGTCTCTTTTCCCACTGGAATGGAATAAAGTTACTGTACAGCCCTTATTGTATTCGCTCAGTCATCGCTGCAGATATTTGCGGCAGAGCAAAACTTGGCTACTACATTCCAGATGATTTAGGAATTAAAATATAATTTTGCTTTGTCTATTCTGCATGAAACCGTATCCATTGCCGATAAACAGCTGATCCCTCAGATCTTATCTGAACTTTCGAAGAGATTAGAGTTATACAAAAAATATTTAAAAATATATAAAGTCCATGTATCGTTGAAAGCAGGATGTTGTGAATTCATACACTATGCATGCAACATTACATAGGCATTTTTATTTGTGTTTTATAGTTTTATGATTAATTGTAGCATTTTCATCATAATGGTGCTATTTTATCACTTAATTCCTTAAAGCCCTATCATATGAAGATATAAACCAAAACTTATATACATTATATTACAAGTTATTATTCATTTATTTTTTTGCTTTTTAACCATAACCTCATTATTTTTACATTGAATATTCCATTAATGCAACCATTAACAACTTATCATATTTTACACTTTTGGGGGTTCATTTTTTTGTTTTTGTAGATGTTTTTAATAATTCGCAGTGAAAAACTCGTGCAAGAAAGTTCACACTTCTTAAAGGACTGCAATGATACCTCAACATTATATATTTGATTCGAACTCACGATAAAGACAGGAATTCTTGTCATTATGATGCTTTCTTAATTTTTAAGTAACTAAAAAGTCATAGACACACACAAAAATGGTTCTGTATTTTGCATTCCAATCATTTCAGTGTAAAGAATTGCCATGTTCTTTGCAAAAAGGTGGGAGTGTGGAGAAAGGAGTAACTATTGTTATTAAAAAAAAAAGATTTGTATTGAACAAAAATAATACAACATATAGAAAGTTTTGGATGTTGCAAAATCAAAGAGATGATACTGATCAGAAGTTAGTTATGATGACAATGGAAGGGTTACCGGTTAGGATGATGCCTAGTGGATGGGAATACAACTAATTTACAAAAATAGATAAGTGACGTCCAATGATATTTGATATAAACAATGAACGAGCTGGGTTAATATAAAATAGTTATTGTCTATGTGTCTACAAGCTAGAGTCAAGAGTGAATTACCTGTCACATTTTCCACTTCCATAAGAAAGTCTGGCAAACATCTTCCGAACAAGGGTTTGCTTTGCACGTAATACGATGCACACAGCTCCTCGTTAAGAAGATTCCGAATGGTACGACCGTTTTTCGTAACCTCATTCTCCGGGTCCACCTCGTATTGGCAGATGAAGAGACTCCAGTCGACCCCAACGGGGTTAGATGAGTCCAATTCCAAAATGTACTTGGTCCAGATGGAGTAGGTCTTAGTGGGACAGTTTTCGACGCACACCTGAGGGGTGGCACACTGGAAGGTGATGAGCGTAGAGGAGGAGAAGCAGGCCAGATAGTCGAAGAAGAACAGGCTAGTCAGGTTAGTCTTTCCTGCAGCAACACCGCAGATGTCACCCTGAGAGTCGGTAGGGTAGATGATGGTGCTGGGGTTACCCGTCGTGAAGGCCAAGTAGGCAATGTAACCCTGACCCCCGAGGAAGGCAAGGAAGATAAGACAACAGATGACATCCGTACAGCTACGGTTCTCGATTGGTCCATTGAAGGTTGGATCATGGGAACGGGACTTGCCGTATTTCTTTCCATGTCCCTCACTATGTTCCTGGTCTTCGGCATCTACTCGTTTCTTCTCCCCGAGTCCCATTCTTGAAATGTTTCCGTAGTTGTCAAGAGTGTTCAATTTATTTCTACTCCTTCTGCAACTCGTTCCAATTTATACAGTATTGTTAAATCAAATTAGCATCAGTAGACATGATCTGTGTAAGCCTAGTTGAAAGTTGCAGATCAAGGAGCTACAACGGTAATGCGGATACCAACCTACCGGCAGTACAATAACAATATACAATGGTATTAACTGACGGAGAAACAAAGTCGTTGTGAGGGCAGAGAGGAAAGGATAGAGTTCGACGCACGGTTTCGATGACAGCACGAATGCCCATCAAAGTTGGATGATATCCAACAACGCAGATCAAGTTACCACTCCCTAACGAGGCAACAATACTGGAATACTGACACTATAAGTGGCTTGTATTATACACGTCGAAAAGGCTAGATGGCAGCCCAGCAGCACAAATCATCCGAGTGACAATCATGAAAGCAGTTGCTGATTATCTGCCACGAAACAATCATGAACTTCACCCGATTTCAAGCGACCAATTAGAAGTAAACAATCAACATGATCTATGGAACGAAACCGTGCAACATGACCCCCTTCCGTTTTGTTTATCTTAATTACTTATCCCTATTTTTTAACAGTCTGGCACTGTGGCGTTAAGATAATGGTCGGTTAATGATTAACTTTTTTTTTTCAAGTGATCCCGGTGCTCGCTGGACGCAATGTTCCCGGAACCACCGGTAGGTGGCGCACCACACGACTAGGGCTTTAACGGAACACTCTCAATTACTTTCGTAGTAAAATACCAGGTAATGACCTAAAATGCCCCAGATATGTATGTTGTAGCCAACATTTTGACATTGTATCGCATGGAACGCCTTAGAATGGTTTCAAGAGGGTTAAAACGCTGAAAAACATACGAAACAGTATATATCTGAGCCAAAAAGTGAATTTTATTATTTTATTTAGTAGACCTGTGACGTCACACAGAACGTCATCTTCGGCATCATAGGTCTTGGAAGCAACGTCTTCGGAAGCATTCGGATGCTCGGAAATGTCACCCAAACAAAGTTGAAAGTTCAAGAAGATCATGAGGCAAATGGCATCAATGATGGGTAAGTGAAAATGTGATTTTTTTTCTTCAAATTGATACAAAATTTGAGCGATTTTGAGCGAGTAACTTTTTAACTGTTTAGATTTTACACTACTCGAATCATTATTCGCTACGCAAAAGTGTAAATGAAGAAATCGCGTGAACTTGACCAGATTATTTAGCATGTTGGCGCTTAAAATTAAAATGCCATGCACATGGTCATGGGAAAGTGTACCCACGTAGATCTAGTCCCTGCACATGTTATGATTCTTATTTCGCGGCGCTGAAAATCGACCTGTATTGCCGAACACCGTGTTATGTCTATGGCGAAACGCAAAAGTCGCGAGTCGCGCGAGAAGAAAATGCACGGAAAACAAATAGCAAAATGACATTCTCAAAACAAACTTGACAGCCATTCACTTTGCACGGGCATTAGGAAAATTGGATTATTTCATGAAAAAGGCATGTATTTGTCACTCATACGTTAGGCTAAGTTAGATGTGTAAATTTTCTAAATTTTTTTTTGTGTTCTTACGATGCGTCATACATTTCTTGATCACCCCACTCGACTTGCACATTCGATACGTGTAGTCCCGCGCGTAGAACGCGCGTCCGGTAATTCAATAGTGTCCGGTAATACCATGCGTGGGCATACGTGTTCATCTCGTATGACGGGGGCCCTATTACCATTACCGTCCACAATTATTTCAGGTCCTCAATTTGTCGATCAAAACATGAAATCTACGAGTAGGTTTATGATAAAAAAGAAACTTCTGTATTTTTATTCCCTGGAATGGCACTCCGTATCAACCTACCAGTTTGTTTATATCGCTGTTCAAAATGACCCTAACCTTGTCGTAGTCTTCTTTTTCGTGCTCACAAAATCGGTATCATGAGAGGTTGTATTTCCGGACGGGTTGAGTACCCGGACACCGAGCATTAGAACGGCGCAATACGCGTCGGGGAAACATCGCGCGCAGTTGCAAACAGACACCCGATGACGCAGCTGTTATTTTTCTTCGCATATATCCTGATTTTGCATGGAAATTCTAATGCTGATTATTTGGAAATTACGTTTTTTGGCAACATATTCTGAAAAAACGCACAAAATTAAGTGTCCGGTTACTCAATTATGTTTTTTGGCAACATATTCTGAAAAAACGCACAAAATTAAGTGTCCGGTTCCTCAAGTCCCCACCCTACCTATTACCGTCCAAAATTTCCTTGAGGTGTTGTTAGGTCAGTCCCCTCATACAAAGGACAGACATCATTACCAGCATATTTTCATGCGCGTGAATTCACGTCAACCGGGCAGGATATCAACTATTGCTTGTCAGGCGGATTCCTGACTAGGAGCTCTCCATGTTTGTGCTCACCGAGATCTTAACACGATATTAATGAACATTTACATCACATATACAACCATTTTTTACTTACGATGTCAGTGTTTTCAAGCAATTTCTGTCCATAACGGGCATCGCTTGAACACTTCTTCTTCGTAGGGAACTGCTGAAACTGAATGCGCATGCACGATACTGTAATACTAGACAATGACTCTTGAACTTGGCGTATTTATGCATACATTCTATATTAATAATTTACCAGTGTCTTTCAAAGACTATTTCAAAAGGCGCTCTGATACTTACCATTACTAAACAACACAAATTAATGATCTTTCTCATACACTCAATAAGAAAGCTTTTGACAAGGTTGGGGGAATACCCTTAAGTTTAGAATTTAACTGTCACAAGAAAGACATGGAAAAATTATGTAAAACAGCAAATTTGCCATATTTTTACTTTGATTTGCTTTGTACATGGTCTGAACTAAAATATGTAAATATTGAGGGGACGAATAATATAATGAGAACGATACTATGGAATAATAGTAATATTAAAATAAGGAACCGAATGCTTCATTTTAAGGTGTGGGAGAGAGGAGGAATAAAAAGAGTACACCATGTTCTTAATGACGGTCGATGGAAAAACTCTGACGAAACTGCCCAAAGATATGGGTTACCCAAAATGTTATTTGCTTTTAAGTTTGCTATGTTGAAAAAGGCTTTCCCCTTGGTATGGTTGCGTAAATCACAAGATGTAGAACGTGATGAAGTAATTGATTTACAGACCATTGAGATTTCGACAGGGGATATGATAGATTTGTCAAAACTTAATACGAAAATAATATATTCACTGATTGTGCAAAAAAATAAGAAAAAACCATATATTTTAAACGCATGGCAACAACGACTACACTTACATGCGGATTTTAATTGGTTATCTGTTCTACAGTTTAAATTTCATGTTGTACGGAATAATAAAATCAGAGAATTTAACTTTAAACTTTTGCATATGATTTTACCATCACGATACAATTTATGCAAATGGAAGATCTTAGATTATAATACATGTGAGATATGTAATACGCTAGAAACCACTAAGCATATGATGTTGGAGTGTGAAAACGTAAGATTGTTTTGGAGAATTGTTTCAGGTGTAATCTTCAATTTATGTGGTCTAAATATTCAGATGACTGAACAGATTTTAATACTTGGTTATGAAGTTGAAAACTCAATTTGTCATTTAGTAAATTTAATAATAAATTTTGCTGAGTATGTAATATATAGAAACCACATAAAGAATTTACAATCATTTAATAGAACACATGCGAGAACTCTATATCGTAGTCTTAAATATGAGTTGACATTTTATTTGAACTGTAAAAGTATTAAAAGAGAAAATAACAATATGGTACAGAAATTAATTGAGATGCTGTAGACAACGAAAACAGATGTACTCATGAACAAACTAATGGGACGTTGCAATATTTTATTTGTTTATGATTGTATATGAGTTGAATTTGTTTATTTGAAGGAAAAGAAACAAAAAGGAATGTCAATTTGAATAATAAAGTTCCTCTGATTGAGGTTAAAGAGAAAAAAATAAAAATAAGAAAGCTTTCTCTGATCATGCAGGTATACAAGCAGCCGGCCTAATCCTTTCGAATTCACTCCCTAAACTAATCAAAGAATAAAAAAATACAAAACACTTTCGAAACCTACTTAAACGTTAGCTGATTAGTAATTATGAGTAATTTCTTTAGAGCATGTCCACATTTGTCTTGTCGTAATGGTTTTTGTCAGAGTCTTTTTTACGCGTTCAACTTTTGTTAATTGTTTCTTTTTTCTGTGTATATCATGCATTGTATACATATTTTTGTAAAGGTGTGGGCTACTTTCGGGCCTTACTGGCTCTCCGGCTCATTTCTCCATTTGTCAGTCTTTGTATTTTACTGTTATTTTGAGGTGTTTAGGTCTATATTTTATCATTGTAAATTTTGTTGGAAACAAGGAAAATCAGCCATTTTGACAAAAAAATTGGATGAAAAGTTGCGAGTGCAGTGAGTGAGCGAGAAGCTGAAAACAAATAATTTCCATGTTTTTTTATCGAAAAATTTAATGTCAAAAACACAATAAAAATGCTGACTGACCGACCCTCCCTGGAAGGTTTGACCGCCATTTTTTTTGTCACCTAATAGGTATAATTTTGTGAAAAATGGATGTGTATTAACAAATATTAGGGCGTGTGAAATCACTTTCACCTTTGGGGCTATTATACATGTAAGACTATGTATTTCACCATAAATTTACCTCTGCACCTCTGACAAATTTGTTGTAGGCCAGAGCATATGAAAAAATATGTTACAAACAACACACTCACTTGGCATGCTTTGTTGTCATTGGTTGCAAAATCTTGCATTTTCCTTTAAAAGGTCATTTTACCAATTAAAAATTATTTAAGGTTCTCATAATTTTGTAGACTTTAAAAGAAAAAAATCCAACTACCCATAACACACATTGTGTAATACCAACATCTCAAAAGTTACTGCTGGCTACTTGAGTGCACATAGCAATCAGTGATTCTTAGTATAAATTGCTCTCATCATGACTACCACTGGTACACTCATAGTCATCTTCCCTATCCTTTCCACTTTCAG